GACTGAACTAATTTACATTCCCACTAACAGAGTATAAACATTCTGTTTTCTCCATAGCCTTGCCAGTATTTGTTATTTATTGACTTTTTAGTAATAGCCATTTTGACCGGTGTGAGATGGTATATCATTGTGGTTTTGATTTACAGTTCTCTGATGATCAGAAATGTTGAGCATTTTCTTGTATGTTTGCTGGCTGCTTGTATGTCTTCTTTTGAGAAGCGTCTGTCCATGTCCTCTGCCCACTTTTTAATGGGGTTGTTTCTTGCTTGTTGCATTAAGTTCCTCATAGATTTTTTTATGTGACCTTTGACAGATGCATAGTTTGCAAATATTTTCTCCTATCCTCTAGGTTATCTGTTAATTCTGTGGATAGTTTCTTTTGCTGTGCAGAAGCTCTTTAGTTTAATTCATTAGTTTAATTTAGTTTAGGTTCCGCTTGTCAATTTTGGTTTCTGTTGCAATTGCTTTTGAGGACTTAGTGATGAATTATTTGCCAAGGCCATTGTCCAGAATGATATATCCTAGGTTTTCTTCTAGGATTTTTATATTTTGAGGTCTTATATTAATCTTTAATCCATTTTAACTTTTGTATTGGCATAAGGTAGGGGTCCAGCTTCATTCTTCTGAATGTGGCTAGCCAGTTATCCCAGAATCATTATTGAATAAGGAATCCTTTCTCCATTGCTTATTTTTGTTGACTTTGCCAAAGATCATATGGTTATAGATGTGCAGCTTTATTTTTGGGCTCTCAATTCTGTTTCATTGGCTTATGTGTCTGTTTTTGTAATGTGTACTACAATGGCTTTTTAATGTGTACTAAAATAGTCGTTTCTAGGACCTTTTGTGTGCAATGTGTGTGCCCAGAGGTACCAGTAAAAACCCTGCCTCGCCTTCTGTTTCAGTTTGCTACAACTGACGCTGTCTCTACTTCCTACCAAAGCTCTCTTGAGCTTTCCTGTGCCTTTGCCTCCAGCCCACACTGCAAGTCCTTAGTGCCGGATCTCTCTTGATGATGCAAATACATCTGGGGAAGCCCATTTCTGATTCCACTTTAACTGGCTGGAATTAGAATGCTTTTCGTACTTGTACACAAAATATCAGAAATCTTATCCAACTTGATTTTCAAAGAATGGAGTTTATAAAGATATAGACCTTTTAGCCCGTATTGGTTTGTCTTAGTTATTGAACAGAATCAAAACATTCCATTTTTCTATAAAACCAAGATAACTATGAAAAAGCGGTTTTTCATATCAACTGATCTAGAGAGGCTTATGTTCAGCATAACCTACTTGGTAAGTTCAAACTGGGGATGGAAACAGGCCAGGATGCTAATAAAGTGAAATAAACTTTTTTTTTTTTTTTTTTTTTTGAAATGGAGTCTCACTCTGTCGCCAGGCTGGAGTGCAGTGGTGCAACCTCGGCTCACTGCAACCTTTGTCTCCCAGGTTCAAGTGATTCTCCTGCCTCAGCCTCCGGAGTAGCTGGGACTACAGGCACTCGCCACCATGCCCAGCTAATTTCTAATTTTTATATTGTTAGTAGAGACAGGGTTTCACCATGTTGGCCAGAATGGTATTGCTCTCTTGACCTTGTGATCTGCCTGCCTCGGCTTCCCAAAGTGCTGGGATTACAGGCGTGAGCCACCGCACCCAGCCAATAAACTCTTCTGTAACCTGCTTTATGCAATAGAGTCCCTGTGCCCTAAAGCTGTCTTAGAAAAGACAGCCTAAGTAGTTACTATACTTTGGATCTCACAGCCCAAGTACATCACACCATCAATATCCTCTTTAAAGACGGGGTGAGGTTTTATAAAAGTATGTTTTAAACAAATGCCAGTAGGAAATTCAAAGTTGGATAATTCATATTGCTGCTGTAACTTATTTTCACTTAAAAAGAAAAAATCGTAGAAAATGGAGCATCATTGCCTGCAGGTACAGACATGTACGATGTCTGAGATCATTGTTATTCTCTTCCTCTCATTTTTCTCCCATATCATCTTAATGGAATAATTACATTATTCTTTACTTGTACATAATTCAGGCAAGCTAAGCACAACCTCTAATATGTTTCTTCAGAGGAAAAAAACCCACACATAATGATTAAAGAATAAGTTACTGTAAGTAGCAAGTATTCCAGGTTTGGGGAGAAAGTGTAGGAGATGATCCCCTCGGAAATGGACACCGATGGGTGGTAACGTGTGTGGGAACAAGAGTGATTCCATCTTAGATGCTAGTCCGCCATATTGACTCCTGACTAACCCTGAGTCTGGGAATGCCTCCAAGATGTCTAGTTGATGATTTACTCTCTATGTAGAAACACTTATTTACTCTGAATTTCCCCTTTCCTCCACAACCACCTTTGATCTTGTTGCATACATCACCCGTAGCTGTGACACCCATAGCATTCTTTCAGCCACCCACTCATTCCTTCCAGAGCAAATACACTTTTCCCCCAGGATATAGCAACCCTGGATCTGGAAGGCTGTAGTGCAAAGGCCTACTTTTCTTGTGTCCACTCAAGACCATGCGTCTGTCTGTAAGTCCCCCAGTAAAGCACCCTTTGCCAACACACTGGATTTTTCTGCTCTGTTCTTTGGTTTCTCGGCTCCTTCTGCGTTTGATGGGTACTTTGCATGTATGGCCCTTTCATGGAACAATGCGAAACTTATAACATTTGGTATTTTGGGACGATCTACTTTAAGAGATGTTCTGTAAATGATTTGCTGTGTAGGCCATGACATTTCCTCAGGCTCACCACTGAAACATCAACCTACTATAAAATGATAAAACATGAGCTTTAAATGTGAGCACTCTAACATATTTATATGAAAGATACAACAGATGGGCAGAAAGAAACACTGAGAATGGGAATATTTTTTTCTTTTTAAATTCTTTTTTTTTTTTTTTTAGATGGAGTCTCACTCTGTCACCCAGGCTAGAGTGCAGTGGCACGATCTCAGCTGACTGCAACCTCCATTTCCCAGGTTCAAGTGATTATCCTGTCTCAGCCCCCCAGGTAAGCTGGGATTACAGGTGCGCCCTACCACACCGTGGCTAATTTTTGTATTTTTAGTAGAGATGGGGTTTTGTCATGTTGGCCAGGCTAGTCTCGAACTCTTGACCTCAGGTGATCCACCCGCCTTGGCCTCCCAAAGTGCTGGGATTATAGGCGTGAACCACTGTGCCCGGCTGGGAATTTGCTTTTCAACAGGGAAAAGAGGCAATGTATCTGCCAGGTAATAATGATGACAAGCACAAAACACTGATTTCAAGGTACTGAGTATGTGAGAGGACCAATACTAGTTTCCTTAGGTGTATTAATTTGAATTATTTTAACAACTTTAGAAAGTCAGTATCATGATTTCTGTTTGAAAAGTGAGCAAACTGAGGCTCAGAGGTGTTGCATGCCTTGCCTAAAGTCACACAGTTGGTATGTGGTTATGATAGCATTTATGGTCAGGTCTGTCTGCCTCCAGTGCCTGGGTTTTTCCTCTATGAGCTCCCTCTTAGCTGTTCCAGTGTTCCTCCACTAGAATTTTATATTCTTTAGTGAGACAATCTCCAAGCATTATCCTAGGTTGAATAAAATGCTCCATAAAGTTCTCCAGCTCAGATCTACAAATCAGTAGTTGTTTTGTAAAATAACTTCTTTCTCCAAGGACCTCAGTTTTGAGGAATGTGTGCCCTGGACGAAGAAACTGGCATTCTCGCTGCTGGAAAGAAATAATTTTGTCTCTGTATTAATTTTTTGGTATTCTGGTTTTTAGACTTTTTTTTTTCATGAGTTATGTTAGTTTTGACTCTTTTGACTAGAGCCTGACCATTCTTGGATGATCTACTAAATTCAAGTATCTGAAATGACACACATGAGAGATAGCTTTATTGATTTTCTATGAATTTTCTTATATTTTTTCTTCTTACCAAAACGTCTCTCCAGGAGCAATACCAAAGAAAGACAAGCTGCTGCAAAGCTTCTCACTGCCTTTGTATATTATGCTAGCTCCTCTGCCTCAAACATTTGCCCAGCCTTCTCGTCTGAAAAATCATTCTTCTTAAAATCCAGCTCAAATGCTACCAGTTCTTTTGCCAAATCATTCTGGAAGACCCTAGGGAAAGTCAATTTCTCGTTCTTTTAAACATTCATATAATTTTGCATATACCACTCTCCTAGTCACTCGACACTCTACAATAACTCCTGTGTAATTCTACTTTCCCATCTAGCCTATGAGCTACCCAATGGTGTCAAAGAACTCGGTCACCTTTGCAAACCTAGCATCTTCTACTGCACCTGGCATAGGAAGAAAAATACTCAATAAACACTTGCAGAAATGACAGCTAAAAACCATGCAATCTTGTCTTTGAAAACTGTACTGTTCAGGAAGATCTAAGAAGATGAATACTTACTAGGGGCTCTTTTTCTGCTTGAAGCTTGACTGAAATAATGGCTGTTGAACCAAGTTTGTTCTAAGCTCACTGAACTTGATTTATTAGCATTGAATTTCCTTTTTTAGCCTTTTTTTTTTTTTCTTGTAATTGACCTCTCCATGTTTAACACAGCCCTCCACTTATAAAAATCATAGGATGCTTCATAGAACAGTGAGAAAAGCGGACCCTCGGGAAGTCAAGGGACTTACCAAAAATCACACAGCTAAGTGGGAGAGTTGAACTAGAACTTTGGTTCTATGGGCCTCTTTTTTATTCTTTCTAGTAGGTCAGGTTGCTCTGACAAAACAATAACCCCTTTAATCTTCTTTATAGCTCTTTGACCTAATCAGAAGGCTTTCTTTAATAGTTGCAGAGGGCACCACACCACAGAAAAAGTTGTCACGAGGTTTGGTAACTTTCCAAACAAAGTCGCTTATAAATTAAAGGTTAAAAATATTGGCCCCATCCTGAGAATTGTGGTTTCCTTTTCTTAATGAAAAAAGCAATAAAATGCAAGTACACATCCATCTGGACATACAGACTGTCAATAATAAAATAATGAGAGATGGCACTGACCATAATCTGTGTTTTCCGGCTCCCAACAATTTGATGGCCAAAAATAGGGTGTCTGTGGAATGAAAAGAAGTGGAACCCAGGTTAGACAAATGAAAAATTAGTGGAGTTCCTGGCTGGTGAACTGCATTTATCTTCCACAATTCTCTATTTGTTTGCTATATGTTTTATAATACAGAACATGTTCCAAGAGAGACATTGTAAACTCTTTGTCTACATTTACTTTGCTGACCAATTGCTCAGCTTCTAAATATGTGTAGCAAGCAGGTATTTAACATGTCATCCTTTTGCTGTAATTTTGCACCAACTGACATAAAGGCAAAAAGGTCTGATTGTATCATTCAGACAAAAAGTATTCATCCACAGAGAGGACTAAAAGAGTATTATGTTCAGCAAGACTCAGGATGAAATATATTTAAATATAACATTGTTTTCTATGAATCATGTATCTCAACACTGCTTTTGGTAGCTCCAAAAAGCTCAACCAACCGATAGACTCTTTCTCTGAGATCTGACAATGATTTGCCTGGCTCCATTAGTCATATAATGTGGTTCTCAGCATTGTCCAATGAGATTAAAGCAACTTTTTACTCTCACTTTTAAAGACATTTCCTAAATTCCTCTTGTAACTAATTTCTACCATTTAGCAGTGCAACAGGGTGACTCCAGTCAACAGTAACTTCATTATACATTTGAAAATAACTAAGAGTGTAACTGGATTGTTTGTAGCACAAACAATAAATGCTTGAGGAAACGGAGATCCCATTCTCCATGATGTGAGGACTTCACGTTGCATCCTTGTATTAAAACACCTCATGTGTTTCATAAATATATATGCCTATTATGTACCCACAAAAATTAAAATTAAAACATTTAAATTAAACAACCCACAAAAAAGAAATAAAAATAAAAACATTTCCTTACAAAGACACCTATTGCTCTAAAGGTTTAAACTACACAAATCAGAGATCTTTTTTTAAAGGAATAGTGTCTTAATTGAGTGATATAATCTATAATAGACAGAATCTGGATTCTGTAGAATTCCAGAAACTGACTAAACTACAAAGAAAATGTCTGACTGAGAAAAACTTTATTATTATCATTAACATTTATATTTTCTAAAAGGACGTTCCTAGCCCTGCTAGTTGAACATACCTGGCTCCTGACCACAAGGAAACTTGAGGATCACCTGTCTCCTGATCAACCTCCAGTCCCTGGAATGATGAGGCCTGTAGGACTCACTGTAACAGTGATGGCAAATATCAGAACTGTGGGCTTAATTCTATCTGTTAGCTAATTATACTAACTGGCCATGTGCAATGAGAATATTTGGAGTCATCTCTGATTATCTGATCATTTTCCCGTCTAGAAGAAAGACTCTAAGGAGGGAAAATGGGTAGATAGGAAGAACTGTTTGAATCTCTACAGAAAAGCCTTTCCAGACTGGCTCAGAGGCCCCCCGACCACCATCACCCAGGGATTTTGGCTTACCCTCTGTTCTTTCTTGGAAATTATAGTAGTAAAATAAAGAAGGCTACTGAGAGTAGTTTTGTGAACGTGAGAACAAAATCATCGTAGGAATTTTGAAGAAAGAAGAGAAGATTGAACCGCTAGACAAAAGAGGATAGTAAGACTTTATACGGGTCACCCTCAGCACCCCAATCTCGCTTCACTCCACAGGAGATGAAGCTTCGAGAATTTGATTTCTTAAAAATAAAATTGAATCGGGATTCTAGGGGAGCCATAGGGGTCAACGTAGTTAAAACTTTGCTTTCCTGTAGGGTGTTACTTTTTGAGATGCTTCTTATGGAATGCGCAGTTCCCCGGGTTGTCTCTATATTGTGGGGAGTATGTATGTGTATGTGTCGGTGTGTGTGCAGGCGTATCTATTTCTCTAAACTTAAAATACCTATTCTAGTCAGACCAGTCAGACATATACCTTTTTTCCACAAAAGCACAAAAAATATTCTCAACTGCATTCTTATACTTTTCTTCCTTCTTCAACATTTATTTTCGTGAGAATTTAATGACAGTAAAATTAAAGCATAAAGCAATTTTTTCTTGTGATGTTTTGTGGAAATGCCACTAAACCAATGTTCTTCACTAATATTGGAAGATTTTTTCTAAGAAGTAATGCTTTGATTTGTAGTAAGATATAAGAGAAGAACAAACTCTTACAGTTTTTTTGGAATTTAAATATATGCTTTTATAGTTCTACCATACATTAGGACATTTTAATGCATGAGTTTCTTGATTTTTCAATATTGGCTTCCTTAGCTAGGATGAAACTCATCCAAAACTGTTCAACTGTTGTTCAGTAACTGTTGGAGCATATACTAATATATTGAAAGTCACAAAAGAGAGCTAAAGAATCACGGCAGATCTCAATTTCAATTAGCTAAGAGAGGATATTAGACAATTGTGACTTTACAGTAAATTTAAAAAATTACATGATGAAGACATGTACTATAAATTTGAGACAAATATACAAATTGTCATGCCAGTGAAGTCAATATTTCTGTTTGTCTCAAACTAATGCTTTGAAGACTCTGCAGTTTTTTTGTTTGTTTGTTTGTTTAAATCTTGAGACAGAATCTCTCATTCTGTTGCAAGGCTGCAGTGCAGTAGCGTGATCTCGGCTTATTGCAACCTCTGCCTTCTGGGTTCAAGTGATTCTCCCGCCTCAGCCTCCCAAGTAGCTGGGATTACAAGCATGCACCACCACACCCAGCTAATTTTTGTATTTTTTAGTAGAGACGGGGTTTCACCATGTTGGTCAGGATGGTGTCCATCTCTCGACCTCATGATCCACCTGCCTCGGCCTCCCAAAGTGCTGGGATCACAGGTGTGAGTCACTGTGCCCGGCCTAGATTCTTAATGATGGTTAGACTCTCAGTCATTCACTGGAGAATTTGTAAACACGGTATCCCAAGTTTTCTATTTGAATTTATGATTTTAAAATATCCTTCTAAGGAGCTGAATTTCACTTCAGTGTAATAAAGAACTTTCACTGCTTGGAACCAACATAAAAATAGAAGTGAACACCTTGAATAATAATGTGTGTTCCATTATTAGAGCTCTTCCAACACAGACTGGTTAATGACTTGGTAGACATTATAGTAGAAATCCAGTTACCTCTGACTTTCCTGGTGTTTTTTAAAATCTTGGTTTTAGAATTCTAATATTATTAGATTTACAAATGTGTTGTATTTAGACATTATTTCAAATACGGATGCATCATTAAAATGTGTAACATCTAATATTTAGCACTGATGTCATTTTAATGTGTATATGTATAGATAATGTTTATTTTATATCTGCCTATCTATCTGAGTACACTGAACTTGACAACTCTCTGTCTATCCCTAGCAGTTGCATAATTCATATATCATTTGTACTCATTCCCTTGCTTTGTTCTAAAGCCCCTTTAAAAATTCCCTCCTTTTCTCCTGTGTGTATGGTGATCCCTTCTTTTACATAGCTTTTTTTTTTTTTTTTGGACAGAGTCTCACTCTGTCGCCCAGGCTGGAGTGCGGTGGCACAATCTCGGCTCACTGCAACCTCTGCCTCCCAGGTTCGAGCTATTCTCCTGCCTCAGCCTCCTGAGTAGCTGGGATTACAGGCACAGGTACATGCCACCACACCCAGCTAATCCAGCTGATTTTTTTTTATTTCAGTAGAGATGGGGTTTCACCATGTTGGCCTGGCTGATCTCGAGCTCCTAACCTCAAGTGATCAGTCCGCCTTGGCTTCCCAAAGTGCTGGGATTACAGGTATGAGCCACTGTGCCCGGCCTCATGTGAGATTTTAGACCCATGAGCATGACTAAGACATGTAAACCTTGTCTGCCTACTACCTTTTTTCTAGGAATAGAGATTTCTTTAAAAATCAGGAAGCATTAATCACATATAGACAATTTATTTGCCGGTCACCAATAATGCCTAGTTGTTAAAAATTTAACTTTGGGACCACAAGTTACTTTAATAATATGCTATTTTAAGCTACCATTAGTGTAAGTTTAGCTGTATAAAGCATAAAGCTCCATTAATGTAAAGCTTTTGCAAGTTAAGTAATTTAACTAAGCGCTTGATAACTTAGGTCAGTATCACAGTTTCAGGAGATGGTTATATTTCCTTCTAGCTCTTAAGTGCAAAACTGTCCTACGATTATTTGCCTTGGGAGAACTGAGTCCTAAGGAAGGAGCAGTGAGACTGTTCTATGAGGACAATAATCTTTAAAATGATTTTTTAAAGCAAATAATTAAAGTGATTTTTAAAGCATATTTCCTCTTTGTTCTCGGTTTTCCCAAACAAATTTTAGGCACTCCGATTACTATTCAGTCATTTATGTAGACATAGAGCATTCAATAATATTTAGAACAAGTGAGAAGAAGGCTCTAAAGTCTGAAAGTTGGACCATGGGGAGAACCCTCCAGCAAATACCTGTTGGAAATGGGTTAGAGTTTGACATCTGGCATTTTATGTGCCTAAATTTTACAGTCTAGAATCTGCTAGTCAGTTATTAACGAGCCATAATGTCTACTGAAATGTAGAATACACTTTAGGTAAATCAATGTGAACTCAAGTGTCAAATATACTTACAATGACTGAAATTAGAGTCCACAGTCATTGCCTGAAAGAATAATTGCATCTGTGTCATTTGCAAATGACCTAGAATGACTCTTATCAGTTTGCAAGTTATCTGAGGTGTCCTGTTGCAGTTGAGTGCACACACACAATATATCATCATGTCAGTCTTCACAGACTTGTAGAAGAGCCTGGATGCCAAGAGTTTATATAATTAGCTCCTATCTGGAGCTTCAAGCAGTCCCATTAACATTTACTTGGGCTGAAGATGGTCTGGATCACAGGCAAAGGTCAGACAGAGGAAGACTCTCTGGTCTTCCCAAATGCCATTAAGTCACTTTCTGAATTTCCTTTAAGCTTTTCATATAAAATAGAACTTCAATCATCACACAATTTAGCTTTCACACATCATCTTGACTAAGCATACTTTATCTTTCTCTGTGTTTATTGCTTTTCATGTCTTTAGTTTAACGTTAATCAGTTTCTAACTAGCCTAGGTCAAAGTAAAATAAGTCATAGTTTTTAAAAGTTCTGTTCAAAAGAAACCTAATGAACAAATGAAACGCAGGCTTCTAGTTTACTGTTAAAGAACGTTTCTATTAAACTTACTTGAAACCGGTAAAAGGTGCCATCATCCTTGAGTGTGAGGACATGATCTGAGATTGGAAAGAAGTAGCCATGGGCAGCCATTAATGTTCCCAAATGGAGCGCCTCCACTGTTTTATGAAAACAAACAAAGAACATAAAAAATCCTTTTAAATGTATTCATTTATAGGAATGTAACGTTTTTGTGTGGTTCCTTTTGTCAGATACAGTAAGTTCCTCTTCAAATATTTAATTTCTGACTTCCTTGTTCTTTGTTCTCGAGATCAACTTCCTTGTCCCTTCTCCTAAGCTATTTACTCTGTAAACAACTTCTCCTACCAGTCCCAGTCTGTAACTCACATCTCTTCCTTATTTGGAAAGAGCCCTCTTTTACTCCTGGCTACCCATTCTGTAAACTGCCCCTCCCACTGAAACAGCTCTTCCCACTGAAACTACGCTTCCCGACTTTGCCGCGCCCTGACATGCTCAAACATGTGTTGTACCATAATGGACAGCCTCTCCCTTCCCACCTAATTAGCCATATTCAATTTTAAACAGTAGCCAATTGGGTTAGTTTAGATTGTGTGGTACAACTCCAGCCAATGGGGACAGGACACAGGAGCAGGGACTAACAGCATTAGGGATAAAAACCCCTTCCCTCCTTTGTTCGGTGTGCTCTCGCAGTGGCCAGAAGTGCGAGCAGCACCCTTCTGCAGAAGTAAATTTGCCTTGCTGAGAAATCCTTTGTTCGAGTGCTTGTTTTCCTTGTGACTCTGAGCTCTTGTTTCTAACACTTTAGAGCACATTCTTGGCATTCTGAAAACCTGACTTTGTGCTTTTACTTCTTTTTTCAGCTCTTTCATGCAAGATACTAACATGGTTCTAGTTCCTGGTAGCAAGTGCCATAACCAACCTCATCCCATGACAACTAGCCCATGAGAAGATAAAGTTAAGAGATGTTAAAATGGGGAGGCTCTTCTGAATCTGTAGAATCTGTCTCTCTCATTTTATAGACGTGTGTTGGCCCTGTGTTAATGTTCTCTCACAGGCAGTTGCATTTTGCGATGCTAACAGGGAATATTAAGGCATCAAGGACCACCTCTACTGCACTATTGAATCTACAGACTGGTGGTTGTAAAGATTATTCTAGCTTTTACTATTCTATACAGTATTCTAAATATGGAGTGGGATAGAGTGGAAAGAGATTTATTGGACAATGGAAACATATAGTCTGAAAGTAAGGCTATAATACTCATACTGTCTATAGCCACCAACAATTTCTTCCAACAAAAGGGTTAATAAAATTTGGTCAACATTTATTACTGCATTTGTGCAGAGATGACATAAAGTTTTCTAACTTAAAGGCTAGAAAATATGAAACTATGCAAAATAGTTTTCTACCCCAACATAAAAATATATGTACAGTTGTCCCTTGGTATCCTCAGGGGATTGGTTTGAGGACCTTCACAGATACCAAACGTCAAGGATGCTCAAGTTCTCCAGTTTGCCCTCCCACGTCTGTGGATTTTTGATCATGGGTGGTTGAATCCACAGATGTGGAAGTCATAAAAGAGAGGGTCTACTGTATTTAGAAAATATCAGAAAAATTAGATTTATTTATCTGTTTATGTATCTTCATGTACAATTCATTTATAAATTTACTTCTGTTTCTTAGTCAAGAAGCTAGGATTCTCACAGCAGTTCCAGGATGACATGGATCTATCTATATCTCCAGTCATCAACCATGGGGAGTTTTTACACCTCAGTAAGAACTGAGTAACTAAGCAGATAGCTATGGTACAGCAAAGCATAAGAATCCCATCCTTCTACCCCTCACACCTACATAAATAAACAACTTGTTGTTAAATTTTTATCTATTGTGGGGTACTATGATGCCCCTTGAAATTGTTATCTAGCATTTTGCAAACATTTCAATTGATAACTTCTACCTCTCCCTGCATTGTTCTTGCTGATAATAAAGAACAACTGCCAATTATTCTTCATTCTTTGCCCTGGCTTTGGAAGACTGTTACTAAGTGATCCAGCCATCATCTCCAAATTCCCAATCAAGTCTCTCTGTATAGAATGTTGTTTTTCTACAGAGGAGCATTTTTTCATCAATTTTGTGTGTGTGTGTGTGTGTGTGTGTATTTTCATCATTTCCACATCCTTTCAGTTCAAAGTCAAGGCCTTCTCAAAGCATGCATTGCTCATAGCAACATGCCTACCTATCCTTGTTAAAACTTTGGTGCCAGGGTGTCATTGTAGAAAGAACAAGAACTTTGGAGACACCCACTGTCTTCTGTTACTTTCATTCTCTGTGCCTCCCCCATCTATTAATAAAGGTCATAAACCCAACTGGCAGGATTGATGTGAGAATGACATAAGCCCACTCGTAATGAAATTGGAATCGTGCTTCCAGCCTCGTAGATACTCTGTATATGGTAGCTACTGTGCTTCATTATTTACACACAAAATAATTTTTATTTTTCTACAAACCACTTTCAGAGAATCTACTTCCATATATTTGCCCTCCACTAGGTTGAGTGAATATTTCCAACACACAGAAAAATAAATGTTTGAAGTGATAGATATGTTAATTATTCTGATTTGATCATTGCACATTTCATGTACTGAAATATTACTCTGTACCCTTATAAATATGTAACAAAAGTTTTAAAAAGCTAGGCTGAGTGAGGGAACCCGACAGTCCTAAACAGCCATGTTCATCAACATCATCTTATTCTTTTTTTTTTTTTTGACTGTCTGTAAAATTAAAATGATAAGAGGATCTATAAGGATAGTTGGCCCATAACAAATGAGCAGGTGCTTATAGTTCTGGTTAAATTCTGAGTTCCTAAGTACCCCTGTGGATGAATGAAGAACATGCCATCCCAAAATACCCCAGATTGTTTCAAGTTGAAAACACTGGAGAAATTGTAGTTTCAGAAAGGGCTAGCTGGCCTATCTCTTCCTATATGCAGCAAGCCATAAAGATTCCTCTGGGAGGAGTATCTTCCCTTTGCCAGGGCAAGAAAATAGCTCTTATCACCAGAGACTGGGAGTTGGGGGCTGCGATGAACCTGAGTAAAGGGCTGGGTGTGATGGCTCATGCCTGTAATCCTAGCACTTTGGGAGGCCAAGGTGGATGGATCACTTGAGGCCAGGAGTTCAAGACCACCCTGGCCAACCTGGCGAACCCTGTCTCTACTAAGAAAAACCAAAAAATAAAAAAATTAGTTGGGCATGGTGGCAGACGTCTGTAATCCCAGCTACTTGGGAGGCTGAGGCATGAGAATCACTTGAATTTGGGAGGCAGAGGTTGTAATTAGTGGAGATCACACCACTGCACTCCGGTCTGGGCAACAGAGCAACACTGTCTCAAAAAATTAAATTAAATTAAATTAAATTTAAAAATTAAAATTAAGAAACTTAATCAAGTAACCCTTACTTTCCATTAGTTTTATACCCCCCATATATCCCCTAGTGATTCTGCTAGAAAATTTACTGCCTTCAGCCAAATTTTGTTTGTTCTGTCATTTTTTTCTTAAATTTATTATTCTTTGTCTAAAAAGTATAGAAGTGTCTTGCTTTGGCCATTTCTTCAGACTTCACTCTCTTATGAAGATCCACATGTGCGTGTAAAACTAATAAAATGTGTATGCTTTTCTCTATTAATCCGCCTGGTGTCCATTTGGTCTCCAGATCCACAGAAGAGCTTAGGGTAGTTGCAGGTGATCTCTGACTTCCTTACACCTGTCAGGTACTATGGGGTGGAGCAACATGTAACATCCTTTGCAGGTCTTCAAAGTCAGGTGGCCCATCTGTCTTCGTATAGCCGTCTTTATTATTTTAGTCCCAGCAGTCTGTGGTCTGGGAAGATAGTGTTAGCACACTTTCCCGGAAGAGAAATTAAGTTATGGCGCATAAGGAAATCTGCAGAGAATAGATACAAGAAGGGAAAACTGAGATGCCCAGGAAGATAGACAGTAAGAGGAGCTTCTGAGTTCTAAGCACAGGAAAGAGTGTGACTAAAACCAAGCCAAGAAACAACAAAAAGCAGTTGGGTGTTAAAGTGTTGATGAGGATTAGAAAAATAGAGTGAAAGTAAATATGGAGATGCTACAAAAAAGAAAAACAGAAGTGAATGATCATAAGACTATTCTTGGCTCCTGCATCTCGTTAACTACTAATTTACAAGTTATATACTTCTAGAGTGCGAAGTGTATGTTGACAGGTTCTTCTTCATGTAATACTACCATAATCAGGCATTAAGAAATGCTTGCAAATGAGAATGAGTGAATTAGTAAAATTCCTCTTCCTTTTTTGAGGTACAGTATTTTGGTTTGATTTGATGATTTGCATTCTCATTTTACTCCTCTTCCAAGTGATACTTACGTTCCATAACTTTATGATTAAGGAAAACTTGTTCTGATACTTTTGTATCATGTCATGAATTTAGTAGAAATAGACTGGCGGTGATACAGGTAAGAACTAAATTTAATTTCTATATGAGTCACACATATTTCATAGGTCAAGGTGAAATCAAACCTTCTGACTTAATGGTTAAGAGGATTGACCTTCTAACAATGCTTACAAATGGTTCTAAGATTTTTGGTCAAATAATCATCTAGAGGTACTGAAATAATAATAGATATTTTGTGTTCATTACAGGATCTCCAGAAAACATAGCTCCAGAGCAGGATAAATGCCTAGATGAAAAACCAGAAAGTTGGGGCGAATTTTTTTGCTTCATTTAGGATGACAAGTTTAGCACTCAGCATATCCATGGCAAAAGTAGCAAGTGAATCAATATTTGCTGAATCAATGAACAAGGACATTTATGAGTAAATGACACATCAAGAATATTAAAATCCTAACATGCACAGAAAAACACCAGACTAATTATTGTGTCTGATAAGCTGTTGAGGTGGGGCTACTGTAGCTATTTTGTTGTGAGAAAAGATAATAGTGATATTAACAAGATAAATGCCAGTAAGAGGTCTCAGAGTGGACTTGGGGCAGTATCCTCAAGAGAGACTTGTTTATTGTCACAGACAAACATGGCACCACACTTCCCTGTGGTCCCACTGCTCCTAAATCTTAGCACCATCTTAATCTAATAGGAATC